AGTTTGTGTCGTGTTTGAACTTGAGTTTGTGGTGTTTTTGAACTTGAGGTTGTGGAAATTGTTAAACTTGAGAATTGGGTATTGGTTGAACTTGATTTTTTTGTGTTTTTAACTAGAGTTTGTGTCGTGTTTGAACTTGAGTTTGTGGTGTTTTTGAACTTGAGTTTCTGTTGTTTTTGAACTTGAGGTATTGGAAATTGTTAAACCTTTGAATCAGGTGTTGGTTTAACTTGAGTTTGTGTGTTTGTTGAACTTTGAGTTTGTGTCATGTTTGAACTTGAGTTTGTGGTGTTTTTTAACTTGATTTTGTGTGTTTGTTGAACTTGAGTTTGTGTTTGAACTTGAGTTTGTGGTGTTTTTGAACTTGAGTTTGTGTCGTGTTTTAACTTTAGTTTGTGTGTTTGTTTAACTTGAGTTTGTGTTGTGTTTGAACTTGAGTTTGTGGTGTTTGTTGAACTTGAGTTTCTGTTGTTTTTGAACTTGAATTTGTGTCGTGTTTGAACTTGAGTTTGTGGCGTTTGTTGAACTTGAGTTTGTGTCGTGTCTGAACTTGAGTTTGTGGTGTTTTTGAACTTGAGTTTTCTGGTGTTTTTGAACTTGAGGGTGTGGAATTTGTTAAACTTGAGAATTGGGTATTGGTTTAACTTGAGTTTGTGTGTTTGTTGAACTTGAGTTTGTGTCAAGTTCGAACTTGAGTTTGGGGTGTTTTTTAACTTGAGTTTGTGTGTTTGTTGAACTTGAGTTTGTCTTTGAACTTGAGTTTGTGGTGTTTTTGAACTTGAGTTTGTGTCGTGTTTTAACTTGAGTTTGTGTGTTTGTTTAACTTGATTTTGTGTTGTGTTTGAACTTGAGTTTGTGGTGTTTTTGAACTTGAGTTTGTTGAAATTTTGAAACTTGAGAATCAGGTGTTGGATGAACTTGAGTTTGTGTGTTTGTTGAACTTGAGTTTGTATCATGTTGGAAATTTCGTTTGTGGTGTTTGTTGAATTTGAGTTTGTGTTGTGTTTGAACTTGAGTTTCTGTTTTTTTTTTACTTGAGTTTGTTTCTTGTTTGAACTTGAGTTTTTGGCGTTTGTTGAAATTGAGTTTGTGTTGTGTTTGAACTTGAGTAAATGGGGTTTTTGAACTTGAGTTTGTGTTTTTTTTTAACTTGAGGGTGTGGAATTTGTTAAACTTTAGAATTGGGTATTGGTTGAACTTGAGTTTGTGATGTTTGTTGAACTTGAGTTCGTGATGTTTTCGAACTTGAGGTTGTGGAAATTGTTAAACTTGAGAATTGGGTATTGGTTGAACTTGAGTTTGTGGTGATTTTGAACTTGAATTTGTTATGTGTTTGAACTTGAATTCTTGGCAATTGTTGAACTTGAGTTTGTGTCGAGTTTGAACTTGAGTTTGTGGTGTTTTTGAACTTGAGTTTTTGGTGTTTTTGAACTTGAGGTTGTGGAAATTGTTAAACTTGAGAATTGGGTATTGGTTGAACTTGATTTTTTTGTGTTTTTTAACTAGAGTTTGTGTCGTGTTTGAACTTGAGTTTGTGGTGTTTTTGAACTTGAGTTTCTGTTGTTTTTGAACTTGAGGTATTGGAAATTGTTAAACCTTTGAATCAGGTGTTGGTTTAACTTGAGTTTGTGTGTTTGTTGAACTTGAGTTTGTGTCATGTTTGAACTTGAGTTTTTGGTGTTTTTGAACTTGAATTTTTGGTGATTTTGAAATTGAGCTTGTGGAAGTTGTTAAACTTGAGAATTGGGTATTGGTTGAACTTGAGTTTTTTGTGTTTTTGAACTTGAGTTTGTGTCGTGTTTGAACTTGAGTTTATGGTGTTTTTGAACTTGAGTTTGTGGTGTTTTTGAACTTGAGGTTGTAGAAATTGTTAAACTTGAGAATTGGGTATTGGTTGAACTGATTTTTTTGTGTTTTTGATCTTGATTTTGTGTTGTGTTTGAACTTGAGTTTATGGGTTTTTTTTAACTTGAATTTGCATGTTTGGTGACCTTGAGTTTTCGTGTTTTTTTGAACTTGAGTTTCTGTTTTTTTGAACTTGAGGTTGTGGAAATTGTTAAACCTTATAATCGAGTGTTGGTTGAACTTGAGTTTGTTTGTTTTTTGAACTTGAGTTTGTGGTGTGTTTGAACTTGAGTTTGTGGTGTTTATGAACTTGAGTTTGTGTGTTTGTTTAACTTGAGTTTGTGTTGTTTTTGAACTTGAGTTTTTGGTGGTCTTGAACTTGAGGTTGAGGAAATTGTTAAACTTAAGAATTGGGTATTGGTTGAACTTGCGTTTTTTGTGTTTTTAAATTGGGTTTGTGTAGTGTTTGAACCTGAGTTTGTGGTGTTTTTGAACTTGATTTTTGGTGTTTTTGAACTTGAGGTTGTGGAAATTGTTAAACTTGAGAATTGGGTATTGGTTGAACTTGAGTTTGTGTGTTTTTTTAACTTGAGTTTGTGTTGTGTTTGAACTTGAGTTTGTGGTGTTTTTGAACTTGAGTTTCTGTTGTTTTTGAACTTGAGGTATTGGAAATTGTTAAACCTATGAATCAGGTGTTGGTTGAACTTGAGTTTGTGTGTTTGTTGAACTTGAGTTTGTGTCATGTTTGAACTTTAGCTTTTGGTGTTTTTGAACTTGAGTTTGTGTGTTTGAACTTGAGGTTGTGGTGTTTTTGGACTTGAGTTTGTGTTGTGTTTAAACTTGAGGGTGTGGAATTTGTTTAACTTGACAATTTGGTATTGGTTGAACTTGAGTTTGTGGGGTTTTTCTGAACTTGAGTTTGTGGAAATTGTTTAACTTGAGAATCAGGTGTTGGATGAACTTGAGTTAGTGTTTGTTGAACTTGAGTTTGTGTTGTGTTGGAACTTAAGTTTTTGGTGTTTTTGATCTTGAGTTTGTGTGCTTGTTGAACTTGAGTTTGTGTTGTGTTTGAACTTGAGTTTGTGTTTTTTTTTTACTTGAGTTTGTTTCATGTTTGAACTTGAGTTTTTGGTGTTTTTGAACTTGAATTTTTGGTGGTTTTGAAATTGAGCTTGTGGAAGTTGTTAAACTTGAGAATTGGGTATTGGTTGAACTTGAGTTTTTTGTGTTTTTGAACTTGAGTTTGTGTCGTGTTTGAACTTGAGTTTATGGTGTTTTTGAACTTGAGTTTGTGGTGTTTTTGAACTTGAGGTTGTGGAAATTGTTAAACTTGAGAATTGGGTATTGGTTGAACTGATTTTTTTGTGTTTTTGATCTTGATTTTGTGTTGTGTTTGAACTTGAGTTTATGGGTTTTTTTTAACTTGAATTTGCATGTTTGGTGACCTTGAGTTTTCGTGTTTTTTTGAACTTGAGTTTCTGTTTTTTTGAACTTGAGGTTGTGGAAATTGTTAAACCTTATAATCGGGTGTTGGTTGAACTTGAGTTTGTTTGTTTTTTGAACTTGAGTTTGTGGTGTGTTTGAACTTGAGTTTGTGGTGTGTTTGAACTTGAGTTTGTGGTGTTTATGAACTTGAGTTTGTGTGTTTGTTTAACTTGAGTTTGTGTTGTTTTTGAACTTGAGTTTTTGGTGGTCTTGAACTTGAGGTTGAGGAAATTGTTAAACTTAAGAATTGGGTATTGGTTGAACTTGCGTTTTTTGTGTTTTTAAATTGGGTTTGTGTAGTGTTTGAACCTGAGTTTGTGGTGTTTTTGAACTTGAGTTTCTGTTGTTTTTGAACTTGAGTTTTTGGTGGTCTTGAACTTGAGGTTGAGGAAATTGTTAAACTTAAGAATTGGGTATTGGTTGAACTTGCGTTTTTTGTGTTTTTAAATTGGGTTTGTGTAGTGTTTGAACTTGATTTTTGGTGTTTTTGAACTTGAGGTTGTGGAAATTGTTAAACTTGAGAATTGGGTATTGGTTGAACTTGATTTTTTTGTGTTTTTGATCTTGATTTTGTGTTGTGTTTGAACTTGAGTTTATGGGTTTTTTTTAACTTGAATTTGCATGTTTGGTGACCTTGAGTTTTCGTGTTTTTTTGAACTTGAGTTTCTGTTGTTTTTGAACTTGAGGTATTGGAAATTGTTAAACCTATGAATCAGGTGTTGGTTGAACTTGAGTTTGTGTGTTTGTTGAACTTGAGTTTGTGTCATGTTTGAACTTTAGCTTTTGGTGTTTTTGAACTTGAGTTTGTGTGTTTGAACTTGAGGTTGTGGTGTTTTTGGACTTGAGTTTGTGTCGTGTTTAAACTTGAGGGTGTGGAATTTGTTTAACTTGACAATTTGGTATTGGTTGAACTTGAGTTTGTGGGGTTTTTCTGAACTTGAGTTTGTGGAAATTGTTTAACTTGAGAATCAGGTGTTGGATGAACTTGAGTTAGTGTTTGTTGAACTTGAGTTTGTGTTGTGTTGGAACTTGAGTTTGTGTTTTTTTTTACTTGAGTTTGTTTCATGTTTGAACTTGAGTTTTTGGTGTTTTTGAACTTGAATTTTTGGTGGTTTTGAAATTGAGCTTGTGGAAGTTGTTAAACTTGAGAATTGGGTATTGGTTGAACTGATTTTTTTGTGTTTTTGATCTTGATTTTGTGTTGTGTTTGAACTTGAGTTTATGGTGTTTTTGAACTTGAGTTTGTGGTGTTTTTGAACTTGAGGTTGTGGAAATTGTTAAACTTGAGAATTGGGTATTGGTTGAACTGATTTTTTTGTGTTTTTGATCTTGAGTTTGTGTCGTGTTTGAACTTGAGTTTATGGGTTTTTTTAACTTGAATTTGCATGTTTGGTGAACTTGAGTTTTCGTGTTTTTTTGAACTTGAGTTTCTGTTTTTTTGAACTTGAGGTTGTGGAAATTGTTAAACCTTATAATCGGGTGTTGGTTGAACTTGAGTTTGTTTGTTTTTTGAACTTGAGTTTGTGTCATGTTTGAGCTCGAGTTTGTGGTGTTTTTGATCTTGAGTTTGTGTGTTTGTTGAACTTGAGTTTGTGTTGTTTTTGAACTTGAGTTTTTGGTGGTCTTGAACTTGAGGTTGAGGAAATTGATAAACTTAAGAATTGGGTATTGGTTGAACTTGAGTTTGTGGTGTTTTTAAATTGGGTTTGTGTAGTGTTTGAACCTGAGTTTGTGGTGTTTTTGAACTTGAAGTTGTGTTTATTTTTAACTTGAGGGTGTGAAATTTTTTAAAGTTGAGAATCTGGTTTTGGTTGAACTTGAGTTTGTGATGTTTTTGAACTTGAGTTTGTCCGTGTTAGAACTTGAGTTTTTGGCGTTTGTTGAACTTGAGTTTCTGTTGTTTTTGAACTTGAGTTTGTGTCGTGTTTGAACTTGAGTTTGTGTCGTGTATGAACTTGAGTTTGTGTTATGTTCGAACTTGAGTTTGTGTCGTGTATGAACTTGAGTTTGTGTCGTGTTTTTGAACTTGAGTTTTTGGTGTTTTTGAACTTGAGGGTGTGGAATTTGTTAAACTTGAGAATTGGGTATTGGTTGAATTTGAGTTTGTGTGTTTGTTGAAATTGAGTTTGTGTCATGTTTGAACTTGAGTTTGTGGTCTTTTTGAACTTGAGTTTGTGTGTTTGTTGAACTTGAGTTGTGGCATTTTTTTGAACTCTAGGTTTTGGCAATTGTTAAACTTGAGATTTGGTTGTTGGTTGAACTTGAGTTTGTGTCGTGTTTGAACTTGAGTTCGTGTTGTTTGTTGAACTTGAATTTGTGTGTTTTTTGAACTTAATTTTTTTGAACTTGAGTTTGTGGCAATTGTTGAACTTGAGTCTGTGGTTTTTGGTGAACTTTAATTGGTGGCAATTGTTGAACTTGAGTTTGTGGTGTTTTTGAACTTGAGTTTGTTTCGGGTTTGAACTTTGTTTGTGGTGTTTTTGAACTTGAGTTTTTGATGTTTTTGAACTTGAGGGTGTGTTGTGTTTTTGAACTTGAGTTTGTGGTGTTTTTGAACTTGAGTTTGTTTCGTGTTTGAACTTGAGTTTGTGGCGTTTGTTGAACTCTAGGTTGTGGCAATTGTTGAACTTGAGATTTGGGTGTTGGTTCAACTTAAAAGTTTGGCATTTGTTGAACATGAGTTTGTGTGTTTGTTGAACTTAAGTTTGTGTCTTGTTTGAACTTGAGTTTGTGTGTTTTTTGAACTTGAGTTTGAATCGTGTTTGAACTTGAGTTTGTGGTGATTTTGAACTTGAGTTTGAATCGTGTTTGAACTTGAGTTTGTGGTGATTTTTAACTTGAGGTGTTGGAAATTGTGAAACTTGAGAAATGGGTATTGGTTGAACTTGAGTTTGTGTGTTTGTTGAACAAGATATTGTGTTGTGTTTTAACTTCAGTTTGTGCTGTTTTTTAAGCTTGAGGTTGTGGTGTTTTTGAATTTGCGTTTGTGGTGTTTTTGAACTTGAGTTTGAATCGTGTTTGAACTTGAGTTTGTGGTGATTTTTAACTTGAGGTGTTGGAAATTGTGAAACTTGAGAAATGGGTATTGGTTGAACTTGAGTTTGTGTGTTTGTTGAACAAGAGATTGTGTTGTGTTTTAACTTCAGTTTGTGCTGTTTTTTAAGCTTGAGGTTGTGGTGTTTTTGAACTTGCGTTTGTGGTGTTTTGTACTTGAGTTTGTGTCATTTTTCAACTTGAGGTTGTGGAACTTGTTAAACTTGAGAATGAGGTGTTGATTGAACTTGAGTATTTTTTTTTTTAACTTGAGTTTGTGTCGTGTTTGAGCTCGAAATTGTGGTGCTTTTGAATTTGAGTTTGCGTGTTTTTTGATCTTGAGTTTGTTGTTTCTGAACTTGAGGTTTTGGCAATTGTTGAACTTGAGTCTGTGGTTTTTAGTGAACTTTAGTTGGTTGCAATTGTTGAACATGAGTTTATGGCGTAAAATTGAGAATTGGGTGTTGGTTGAACTTAAAAGTTTGACATTTGTTGAACTTGAGTGTGGTTTTTGTTGAACTTGAGTTTGTGTCGTGTTTGAGCTCGAGTTTGTGGTGTTTATGAATTTGAGTTTGCGTGTTTGTTAAACTTGAGTTTGTGTTTTTTTTTAACTTGAGTTTGTTGTTTCTGAACTTGAGTTTGTGGCAATTGTTGAACTTGAGTTTGACATTTGTTGAACTTGGGTTTGTGGTTTTTGAACTTGAGTTTGTGGTGTTTTTGAACTTGAGGTTGTGGAATTTGTTAAACTTGAGAATTGGGTATTGGTTGAAATTGAGTCTGTGTGTTTGTTGAACTTGAGTTTGTGTTGTGTTTGAACTTGAGTTTATGGTTTTTTTGAACTTGAGTTTGTGGTGTTTTTGAACTTGAGGTTGTTAGAAATTGTTAAACTTGAAAATTTGGTATTGGTTGAACTTGAGTTTGTGTGTTTGTTGAACTTGAGTTTGTTCCGTTTGTTGAACTTGAGTTTCTGTTGTTTTTGAACTTTAATTTGTGTCGTGTTTGAACTTGAGTTTGTGGCGACTGTTGAACTTGAGTTTGTGGTGTTTTTGAAATTGAGGGTGTGGAATTTGTTAATCTTGAGAATTGGGTATTGGTTGAACTTGAGTTTGTGTTTTGTTGAACTTGAGTTTGTGTCGAGTTTGAACTTGAGTTTATGGTGTTTTTTAAATTTATTTTGTGTGTTTGTTGAACTTGAGTTTGTGTTTGAACTTGAGTTTGTGGTGTTTTTGAACTTGAGTTTGTGTCGTGTTTTAACTTGAGTTTGTGGCGTTTGTTGAACTTGAGTTTGTGTCGTGTCTGAACTTGAGTTTGTGGTGTTTTTGAACTTGAGTTTTCTGGTGTTTTTGAACTTGAGGGTGTGGAATTTGTTAAACTTGAGAATTGGGTATTGGTTTAACTTGAGTTTGTGTCGAGTTTGAACTTGAGTTTGTGGTGTTTTTTAACTTGATTTTGTGTGTTTTTTGAACTTGAGTTTCTGTATTTTTTGAACTTGAATTTGTGTCGTGTTTGAACTTGAGTTTGTGGCGTTTGTTGAACTTGAGTTTGTGTCATGTCTGAACATGAGTTTGTGGTGTTTTTGAACTTGAGTTTGTGGTGTTTTTGAACTTGATTTCGTGTTTGAACTTGAGTTTGTGGTGTTTTTGAACTTGAGTTTGTGTCGTGTTTTAACCCGAGTTTGTGTGTTTGTTTAACTTGATTTTGTGTTTATGTTTGAACTTGAGTTTGTGGGGTTTTTGAACTTGTGTTTGTGGTGTTTTTGAACTTGAGTTTGTGGCGTTTGTTGAACTTGAGTTTCTGTTGTTTTTGAACTTGAATTTGTGTCGTGTTTGAACTTGAGTTTGTGGCGTTTTTTGAACTTTAATTTGTGTCGTGTTTGAACTTGAGTTTGTGGCGACTGTTGAACTTGAGTTTGAGGTGTTTTTGAAATTGAGGGTGTGGAATTTGTTAATCTTGAGAATTGGGTATTGGTTGAACTTGAGTTTGTGTTTTGTTGAACTTGAGTTTGTGTCGAGTTTGAACTTGAGTTTATGGTGTTTTTTAAATTTATTTTGTGTGTTTGTTGAACTTGAGTTTGTGTTTGAACTTGAGTTTGTGGTGTTTTTGAACTTGAGTTTGTGTCGTGTCTGAACTTGAGTTTGTGGTGTTTTTGAACTTGAGTTTTCTGGTGTTTTTGAACTTGAGGGTGTGGAATTTGTTAAACTTGAGAATTGGGTATTGGTTTAACTTGAGTTTGTGTCGAGTTTGAACTTGAGTTTGTGGTGTTTTTTAACTTGATTTTGTGTGTTTTTTGAACTTGAGTTTCTGTATTTTTTGAACTTGAATTTGTGTCGTGTTTGAACTTGAGTTTGTGGCGTTTGTTGAACTTGAGTTTGTGTCATGTCTGAACATGAGTTTGTGGTGTTTTTGAACTTGAGTTTGTGGTGTTTTTGAACTTGATTTCGTGTTTGAACTTGAGTTTGTGGTGTTTTTGAACTTGAGTTTGTGTCGTGTTTTAACCCGAGTTTGTGTGTTTGTTTAACTTGATTTTGTGTTTATGTTTGAACTTGAGTTTGTGGGGTTTTTGAACTTGTGTTTGTGGTGTTTTTGAACTTGAGTTTGTGGCGTTTGTTGAACTTGAGTTTCTGTTGTTTTTGAACTTGAATTTGTGTCGTGTTTGAACTTGAGTTTGTGGCGTTTTTTGAACTTGAGTTTGTGGTGTTTTTGAACTTGAGGGTGTGGAATTTGTTAATCTTGAGAATTGTGTTTTGGTTGAACTTGAGTTTGTGTTTTTGTTGAACTTGAGTTTGTGTCGAGTTTGAACTTGAGTTTGTGGTGTTTTTTAACTTGATTTTGTGTTTGTTGAACTTGAGTTGTGTTTGAACTTGAGTTTGTAGTATTTTTGAACTTGAGTTTGTGTCGTGTTTTAACTTGAGTTTGTGTGTTTGTTTAACTTGAGTTTGTGTTGTGTTTGAACTTGAGTTTGTGGCGTTTGTTGAACTTGAGTTTCTGTTGTTTTTGAACTTGAACTTTTTGTCGTGTTTAAACTTGAGTTTGTGGTGTTTGTTGAACTTGAGTTTGTGTCGTGTCTGAACTTGAGTTTGTGGTGTTTTTGAACTTGAGTTTTCTGGTGTTTTTGAACTTGAGGGTGTGGAATTTGTTAAACTTCAGAATTGGGTATTGGTTTAACTTGAGTTTGTGTGTTTGTTGAACTTGAGTTTGTGTCGAGTTTGAACTTGAGTTTGTGGTGTTTTTTAACTTGTTTTTGTGTGTTTGTTGAACTTGAGTTTGTGTTTGAACTTGAGTTTGTGGTGTTTATTGAACTTGAGTTTGTGTCGTGTCTGAACTTGAGTTTGTGGTGTTTTTGAACTTGAGTTTTCTGGTGTTTTTGAACTTGAGGGTGTGGAATTTGTTAAACTTCAGAATTGGGTATTGGTTGAACTTGAGTTTGTGTGTTTGTTGAACTTGAGTTTGTGTCGAGTTTGAACTTGAGTTTGTGGTGTTTTTTAACTTGTTTTTGTGTGTTTGTTGAACTTGAGTTTGTGTTTGAACTTGAGTTTGTGGTGTTTTTGAACTTGAGTTTGTGTCGTGTTTTAACTTGAGTTTGTGTTGTTGTTTAACTTGATTTTGTGTCGTGTCTGAACTTGAGTTTGTGGTGTTTTTGAACTTGAGTTTTCTGGTGTTTTTGAACTTGAGGGTGTGGAATTTGTTAAACTTGAGAATTGGGTATTGGTTTAACTTGAGTTTGTGTCGAGTTTGAACTTGAGTTTGTGGTGTTTTTTAACTTGATTTTGTGTGTTATTTGAACTTGAGTTTCTGTTGTTTTTGAACTTGAATTTGTGTCGTGTTTGAACTTGAGTTTGTGGCGTTTGTTGAACTTGAGTTTGTGTCATGTCTGAACATGAGTTTGTGGTGTTTTTGAACTTGAGTTTGTGGTGTTTTTGAACTTGATTTCGTGTTTGAACTTGAGTTTGTGGTGTTTTTGAACTTGAGTTTGTGTCGTGTTTTAACCTGAGTTTGTGTGTTTGTTTAACTTGATTTTGTGTTTATGTTTGAACTTGAGTTTGTGGGGTTTTTGAACTTGAGTTTGTGGTGTTTGTTGAACTTGAGTTTCTGTTGTTTTTGAACTTGAATTTGTGTCGTGTTTGAACTTGAGTTTGTGGCGTTTGTTGAACTTGAGTTTGTGGTGTTTTTGAACTTGAGGGTGTGGAATTTGTTAAACTTGAGAATTGGGTATTGGTTTAACTTGAGTTTGTGTCGAGTTTGAACTTGAGTTTGTGGTGTTTTTTAACTTGATTTTGTGTGTTATTTGAACTTGAGTTTCTGTATTTATTGAACTTGAATTTGTGTCGTGTTTGAACTTGAGTTTGTGGCGTTTGTTGAACTTGAGTTTGTGTCATGTCTGAACATGAGTTTGTGGTGTTTTTGAACTTGAGTTTGTGGTGTTTTTGAACTTGATTTCGTGTTTGAACTTGAGTTTGTGGTGTTTTTGAACTTGAGTTTGTGTCGTGTTTTAACCTGAGTTTGTGTGTTTGTTTAACTTGATTTTGTGTTTATGTTTGAACTTGAGTTTGTGGGGTTTTTGAACTTGAGTTTGTGGTGTTTGTTGAACTTGAGTTTGTGTTGTTTGTTGAACTTGAGTTTGTGTCGTGTTTGAACTTGAGGTTGTGGCGTTTGTTGAACTTGAGTTTGTGGTGTTTTTGAACTTGAGGGTGTGGAATTTGTTAATCTTGAGAATTGGGTTTTGGTTGAACTTGAGTTTTTGTTTTTGTTGAACTTGAGTTTGTGTCGAGTTTGAACTTGAGTTTGTGGTGTTTTTTAACTTGATTTTGTGTTTGTTGAACTTGAGTTGTGTTTGAACTTGAGTTTGTAGTATTTTTGAACTTGAGTTTGTGTTGTGTTTGAACTTGTTTGAACTTGAGTTTGTGGCGTTTGTTGAACTTGAGTTTCTGTTGTTTTTGAACTTGAATTTGTGTCATGTTTGAACTTGAGTCTGTGGTGTTTGTTGAACTTGAGTTTGTGTCGTGTCTGAACTTGAGTTTGTGGTGTTTTTGAACTTGAGTTTTCTGGTGTTTTTGAACTTGAGGGTGTGGAATTTGTTAAACTTCAGAATTGGCTATTGGTTTAACTTGAGTTTGTGTGTTTGTTGAACTTGAGTTTGTGTCGAGTTTGAACTTGAGTTTGTGGTGTTTTTTAACTTGAGTTTGTGTGTTTGTTGAACTTGAGTTTGTGTTTGAACTTGAGTTTGTGGTGTTTTTGAACTTGAGTTTGTGTCGTGTTTTAACTTGAGTTTGTGTTGTTGTTTAACTTGATTTTGTGTTGTGTTTGAACTTGAGTTTGTGGTGTTTTTCAACTTGAGTTTGTTGAAATTTTGAAACTTGAGAATCAGGTGTTGGATGAACTTCAGTTAGTGTGTTTGTTGAACTTGAGTTTGTATCACGTTGGAAATTTAGTTTGTGGTTTTTGTTGAACTTGAGTTTGTGGTTTTTTTGAACTTGAGTTTGTTTCTTGTTTGAACTTGAGTTCGTGGCGTTTTTTGAAATTGAGTTTGTGTGTTTTTTTAACTTGAGTATCTGTTGTTTTTTGAACTTGAAGTTGTGTTCTTTTTTAACTTGAGGGTGTGGAATTTGTTAAACTTGAGAATTGGGTTTTGGTTGAACTTGAGTTTGTGGTGTTTTTGAACTTGAGTTTTTTTCGTGTTTGAACTTGAGTTTGTGGGGTTTGTTGAACTTGAGTTTCTGTTGTTTTTGAACTTGAATTTAAGTCTTGTTTGAAATTGAGTTTGTGGCGTTTGTTGAACTTGAGTTTGTGTCGTGTCTGAACTTGAGTTTGTGGTGTTTTTGAACTTGAGGTTGTGGTGTTTTTGAACTTGAGGGTGTGGAATTTGTTAATCTTGAGAATTGGGTATTGGTTGAACTTGAGTTTGTGTTTTTGTTGAACTTGAGTTTGTGTCGAGTTTGAACTTGAGTTTGTGGTGTTTTTTAACTTGAGTTTGTGTGTTTGTTGAACTTGAGTTTGTGTTATGTTTGAACTTGAGTTTGTGTCGTGTATGAACTTGAGTTTGTGTTGTGTTTTGAACTTGAGTTTTTGGTGTTTTTGAACTTGAGGGTGTGGAATTTGTTAAACTTGAGAATTGGGTATTGGTTGAATTTGAGTTTGTGTGTTTGTTGAATTTGAGTTTGTGTCATGTTTGAACTTGAGTTTGTGTGTTTGTTGAACTTGAGTTGTGGCGTTTGGTGAAATCTAGGTTGTGGCAATTGTTAAACTTGAGATTTGGTTGTTGGTTGAACTTGAGTTTGTGTCGTGTTTGAACTTGAGTTCGTGTTGTTTTTTGAACTTGAATTTGTGTGTTTTTTTAACTTAATTTTTTTTGAACTTGAGTTTGTGGCAATTGTTGAACTTGAGTCTGTGGTTTTTGGTGAACTTTTATTGGTGGCAATTGTTGAACTTGAGTTTGTGGTGTTTTTGAACTTGAGTTTGTTTCGTGTTTGAACTTTGTTTGTGGTGTTTTTGAACTTGAGTTTTTGGTGTTTTTGAACTTGAGGGTGTGTTTTGTTTTTGAACTTGAGTTTTTGGTGTTTTTGAACTTGAGGGTGTGGAATTTGTTAACTTGAGAATTGGGTATTGGTTGAATTTGAGTTTGTGTGTTTGTTGAACTTGAGTTTGTGTCATGTTTGAACTTGAGTTTGTGGTCTTTTTGAACTTGAGTTTGTGTGTTTGTTTAACTTGAGTTGTGGCGTTTGTTGAACTCTAGGTTGTGGCAATTGTTAAACTTGAGATTTGGTTGTTGGTTGAACTTGAGTTTGTGTCGTGTTTGAACTTGAGTTCGTGTTGTTTGTTGAACTTGAATTTGTGTGTTTTTTGAACTTAATTTTTTTGAACTTGAGTTTGTGGCAATTGTTGAACTTGAGTCTGTGGTTTTTGGTGAACTTTAATTGGTGGCAATTGTTGAACTTGAGTTTGTGGTGTTTTTGAACTTGAGTTTGTTTCGTGTTTGAACTTTGTTTGTGGTGTTTTTGAACTTGAGTTTTTGGTGTTTTTGAACTTGAGGGTGTGTTGTGTTTTTGAACTTGAGTTTGTGGTGTTTTTGAACTTGAGTTTGTTTCGTGTTTGAACTTGAGTTTGTGGCGTTTGTTGAACTCTAGGTTGTGGCAATTGTTGAACTTGAGATTTGGGTGTTGGTTCAACTTAAAAGTTTGGCATTTGTTGAACTTAAGTTTGTGTGTTTGTTGAACTTAAGTTTGTGTCTTGTTTGAACTTGAGTTTGTGGTGTTTTTTGAACTTTAGTTTTGGTGTCTTTGAACTTGAGTTTGTGGTGTTTTTGAACTTGAGTTTGAATCGTGGTTGAACTTGATTTTGTGGTGTTTTCGAAATTGAGGGTGTGTTGTGTTTTTGAACTTGAGGTTGTGGTGTTTTTGAACTTGAGTTTGTTTCGTGTTTGAACTTGAGTTTGTGGCGTTTGTTGAACTCTAGGTTGTGGCAATTGTTGAACTTGAGATTTGGGTGTTGGTTCAACTTAAAAGTTTGGCATTTGTTGAACTTGAGTTTGTGTGTTTGTTGAACTTAAGTTTGTGTCTTGTTTGAACTTGAGTTTGTGGTGTTTTCAAACTTGAGTTTGTGGTGTTTTTGAACTTGAGGTGTTGGAAATTGTGAAACTTGAGAATTGGGTATTGGTTGAACTTGAGTTTGTGTGTTTGTTGAACAAGAGATTGTGTTGTGTTTTAACTTCAGTTTGTAGTGTTTTTTGAACTTGAGGTTGTGGTGTTTTTGAACTTGAGTTTGTGGTGTTTTGTACTTGAGTTTGTGTTATTTTTCAACTTGAGGTTGTGGAAAAACGTAAACTTGAGATTTGGGTGTTGATTGAACTTGAGTTTGTTTCGTGTTTGATCTTGAGGTTGTGGTGTTTTTGAACTTGAGGTTTCTTGTTTGTTTAACTTGAGTTTGTGTGTTTGTTGAACTTGAGTCTGTGTTATGTTTGAACTTGAGTTTGTGTCGTGTATGAACTTGAGTTTGTGTCGTGTTTTTGAACTTGAGTTTTTGGTGTTTTTGAACTTGAGGGTGTGGAATTTGTTAAACTTGAGAATTGGGTATTGGTTGAATTTGAGTTTGTGTGTTTGTTGAACTTGAGTTTGTATCATGTTTGAACTTGAGTTTGTGGTCTTTTTGAACTTGAGTTTGTGTGTTTGTTGAACTCTAGGTTGTGGCAATTGTTAAACTTGAGATTTGGTTGTTGGTTGAACTTGAGTTTGTGTTGTGTTTGAACTTGAGTTCGTGTTGTTTGTTGAACTTGAATTTGTGTGTTTTTTGAACTTAATTTTTTTGAACTTGAGTTTGTGGCAATTGTTGAACTTGAGTCTGTGGTTTTTGGTGAACTTTAATTGGTGGCAATTGTTGAACTTGAGTTTGTGGTGTTTTTGAACTTGAGTTTGTTTCGTGTTTGAACTTTGTTTGTGGTGTTTTTGAACTTGGGTTTTTGGTGTTTTTGAACTTGAGGGTGTGTTGTGTTTTTGAACTTGAGTTTGTGGTGTTTTTGAACTTGAGGTTGTTTCGTGTTTGAACTTGAGTTTGTGGCGTTTGTTGAACTCTAGGTTGTGGCAATTGTTGAACTTGAGATTTGGGTGTTGGTTCAACTTAAAAGTTTGGCATTTGTTGAACTTGAGTTTGTGTGTTTGTTGAACTTAAGTTTGTGTCTTGTTTGAACTTGAGTTTGTGGTGTTTTCAAACTTGAGTTTGTGTGTTTTTGAACTTTAGTTTTTGGTGTTGAACTTGAGTTTGTGGTGTTTTTGAACTTGAGTTTGAATCGTGGTTGAACTTGAGTTTGTGGTGTTTTTGAACTTGAGAGTGTGTTGTGTTTTTGAACTTGAGGTTGTGGTGTTTTTGAACTCTAGGTTGTGGCAATTGTTGAACTTGAGATTTGGGTGTTGGTTCAACTTAAAAGTTTGGCATTTGTTGAACTTAAGTTTGTGTGTTTGTTGAACTTAAGTTTGTGTCTTGTTTGAACTTGAGTTTGTGGTGTTTTTTGAACTTTAGTTTTGGTGTCTTTGAACTTGAGTTTGTGGTGTTTTTGAACTTGAGTTTGAATCGTGGTTGAACTTGATTTTGTGGTGTTTTCGAAATTGAGTTTGTGTGTTGTGTTTTTGAACTTGAGGTTGTGGTGTTTTTGAACTTGAGTTTGTTTCTGTGTTTGAACTTGAGTTTGTGGCGTTTGTTGAACTCTAGGTTGTGGCAATTGTTGAACTTGAGATTTGGGTGTTGGTTCAACTTAAAAGTTTGGCATTTGTTGAACTTGAGTTTGTGTGTTTGTTGAACTTAAGTTTGTGTCTTGTTTGAACTTGAGTTTGTGGTGTTTTCAAACTTGAGTTTGTGGTGTTTTTGAACTTGAGGTGTTGGAAATTGTGAAACTTGAGAATTGGGTATTGGTTGAACTTGAGTTTGTGTGTTTGTTGAACAAGAGATTGTGTTGTGTTTTAACTTCAGTTTGTAGTGTTTTTTGAACTTGAGGTTGTGGTGTTTTTGAACTTGAGTTTGTGGTGTTTTGAACTTGAGTTTGTGTTATTTTTCAACTTGAGGTTGTGGAAAAACGTTAAACTTGAGATTTGGGTGTTGATTGAACTTGAGTTTGTTTCGTGTTTGATCTTGAGGTTGTGGTGTTTTTGAACTTGAGGTTTTTTCTTGTTTGTTTAACTTGAGTTTGTGTGTTTGTTGAACTTGAGTTTGTGTTATGTTTGAACTTGAGTTTGTGTTCGTGTATGAACTTGAGTTTGTGTGTGTTTTTGAACTTGAGTTTTTGGTGTTTTTGAACTTGAGGGTGTGGAATTTGTTAAACTTGAGAATTGGGTATTGGTTGAATTTGAGTTTGTGTGTTTGTTGAACTTGAGTTTGTATCATGTTTGAACTTGAGTTTGTGGTCTTTTTGAACTTGAGTTTGTGTGTTTGTTGAACTCTAGGTTGTGGCAATTGTTAAACTTGAGATTTGGTTGTTGGTTGAACTTGAGTTTGTGTTGTGTTTGAACTTGAGTTCGTGTTGTTTGTTGAACTTGAATTTGTGTGTTTTTTGAACTTAATTTTTTTGAACTTGAGTTTGTGGCAATTGTTGAACTTGAGTCTGTGGTTTTTGGTGAACTTTAATTGGTGGCAATTGTTGAACTTGAGTTTGTGGTGTTTTTGAACTTGAGTTTGTTTCGTGTTTGAACTTTGTTTGTGGTGTTTTTGAACTTGGGTTTTTGGTGTTTTTGAACTTGAGGGTGTGTTGTGTTTTTGAACTTGAGTTTGTGGTGTTTTTGAACTTGAGGTTGTTTCGTGTTTGAACTTGAGTTTGTGGCGTTTGTTGAACTCTAGGTTGTGGCAATTGTTGAACTTGAGATTTGGGTGTTGGTTCAACTTAAAAGTTTGGCATTTGTTGAACTTGAGTTTGTGTGTTTGTTGAACTTAAGTTTGTGTCTTGTTTGAACTTGAGTTTGTGGTGTTTTCAAACTTGAGTTTGTGTGTTTTTTGAACTTTAGTTTTTGGTGTCTGAACTTGAGTTTGTGGTGTTTTTGAACTTGAGTTTGAATCGTGGTTGAACTTGAGTTTGTGGTGTTTTTGAACTTGAGAGTGTGTTGTGTTTTTGAACTTGAGGTTGTGGTGTTTTTGAACTTGAGTTTGTTTCGTGTTTGAACTTGAGTTTGTGGCGTTTGTTGAACTCTAGGTTGTGGCAATTGTTGAACTTGAGATTTGGGTGTTGGTTCAACTTAAAAGTTTGGCATTTGTTGAACTTGAGTTTGTGTGTTTGTTGAACTTAAGTTTGTGTCTTGTTTGAACTTGAGTTTGTGGTGTTTTCAAACTTGAGTTTGTGTGTTTTTTGAACTTGAGGTGTTGGAAATTGTGAAACTTGAGAATTGGGTATTGGTTGAACTTGAGTTTGTGTGTTTGTTGAACAAGAGATTGTGTTGTGTTTTAACTTCAGTTTGTGGCGTTTTTTAAGCTTGAGGTTGTGGTGTTTTTGAACTTGAGTTTGTGGTGTTTTGTACTTGAGTTTGTGTTATTTTTCAACTTGAGGTTGTGGAACTTGTTAAACTTGAGAATCAGGTGTTGATTGAACTTGAGTATTTGTTTTTTTTAACTTGAGTTTGTGTCGTGTTTGAGCTCGAGTTTGTGGTGTTTTTGAATTTGAGTTTGCGTGTTTGTTAAACTTGAGTTTGTGTCGTGTTTTAAATTGAGTTTGTTGTTTCTGAACTTGAGTTTGTGGCAATTGTTGAACTTGAGTTTGACATTTGTTGAACTTGGGTTTGTGTTTTTTGTTGAACTTGAGTTTGTGGTGTTTTTGAACTTGAGGTTGTGGAATTTGTTAAACTTGAGAATTGGGTATTGGTTGAAATTGAGTTTGTGTGTTTGTTGAACTTGAGTTTGTGTCGTGTTTGAACTTCGGTTTGTGGTGTTTTTTGAGCTTGAGGTTGTGGTGTTTCTGAACTTGAGTTTGTGTTGCTTTTGAAGTTTAGGTTGTGGCAATTTCTAAAATTGAGATTTGGGTGTTGGTTGAACTTAAAAGTTTGTCATTTGTTGAACTTCAGTTTGTGGAAATTGTTAAAATTGAGGATTGGGTGTTGGTTGAACTTGAGTTTGTGGTGTTTGTTGAACTTGAGTTTGTGAGGTGTTTGAACTTGAGTTTGTGGTGTTTTTGAACTTGAGTTTTTGGTGTTCGTTGAACTCGAGTTTGTGTCGTGTTTGAACTTGAGTTTGTGGCGTTTTTGAACTTTAGGTTGTTGCAATTGTGAAACTTGAGTTTTGGGTGTTGGTTGAACTTAAAATTTTGACATTTGTTGAACTTGAATTTGTGGTGTTTGTTGAACTTTTGTTTGTGTCATGTTTGAACTTGAGTTTATGGTGTTTTTGAACTTGAGGTTGTGGTGTTTTTGAACTTGAGTTTGTGGCGTGTTTGAACTTGAGGTTGTTGCAATTGTTAAATTGAGATTTTGGTGTTGGTTGAACTTAAAACTTTGACATTTGTTGAACTTGAGTTTGAGCTGTTTGTTTAACATTAGTTTGTGTCATTTTTGTACTTGAGTTTGTTGTGTTTTTGAACTTGAGTTTGTGGAAATTGTTAAACTTGAGAATCGGGTGTTGGTTCAACTTGGTTTTCTGTTGTTTTTGAACTTGAGGTTGTGGAAATTGTTAAACTTGAGAATCAGGTGTTGGTTGAAGTTGAGTTTGTGTGTTTGTTGAACTTGAGTTTGTGTCGTGTTCGAACTTGAGTTTGTGGTATTTTTGAACTTGAGTTTGTGTGTTTGTTGATCTTGAGGTTATGGAAATTGTTAAACCCCAAAATTGGGTATTGGTTGAACTTGAGTTTGTGTTGTTTTTGAACTTGAGTTTGTGTAGTGTTTGAACTTGAGTTTGTGGTGTTTTTTGAGCTTGAGGTTGTGGTGTTTTTGAGCTTGAGATTGTGGCGTGTTTGAACTTGAGTTTGTGGTGGTTTTTGAACTTGAGGTTGTGAAAATTGTTAAAACTTGAGAATCAGGTGTTGGTTGAACTTGAGTTTGTGGTTTTTTTTTAGCTTGAGTTTGTGGTTTTTGTTGAACTTGAGTTTTTGTCATTTTTGAGCTTGAGGTTTTGGTGTTTTTAAACTTGAGTTTGCGTGTTTGTTTAACTCGAGTTTGTGTGTTTTTTTAACTTGAGTTTGTTGTTTCTGAACTTGAGGTTTTGGCAATTGTTGAACTTGAGTCTGTTGTTTTTAGTGAACTTTAGTTGGTGGCAATTGTTGAACTTGAGTTTGTGGCATTTGTTAAACTTGAGTTTGTGACGTGTTTAAACATGATTTTGTGGTGTTTTTGAACTCGAGTTTGTGGTTTTTTTTTAACTTGAGGTTGTGGAAATTGTTAAACTTGAGAATTGGGTATTGGTTGAACTTGAGTTTGTGTTTTTTTTTAACTTGAGTTTGTGTCATGTTTGAACTTCAGTTTGTGGGGTTTTTGAACTCGAGTCTTTGTGTTTGTTGAACTTCAGTTTGTGTCGTGTTTGAACTTGAGTTTGTGGTGTTTTTTGAACTTGAGGTTGTGTGTTTTTTTTAACTTGAGTTTGTGGCGGTTTTTGAACTTGAGGTTGTGGCAATTGTTGAACTTGAGTTTGTGACGTGTTTGAACTTGATTTTGTGGTGTTTTTGAACTTGAGTTTGTGGTGTTTTTTAACTTGAGTTCGTGGTGTTTGTGGAATTTGAGTTTGTGTCGTTTGAACTTGAGGTTGTGTTGTTTTTGAACTCGAGTTTTTGTGTTTGTTGAACTTCAGTTTGTGTCGTGTTTGAACTTGAGTTTGTGGTGTTTTTTGAACTTGAGGTTGTGGTGTTTTTGACTTGAGTTCGTGGCGTGTTTGAACTTGAGGTTGTTGCAATTGTTAAACTTGAGATTTGGGTGTTGGTTGAACATAAAACTTTGCCATTTGTTGAACTTGAGTTAGTGGTGTATGTTGAACTCCAGCTTGTGTTGTGTTTGAACTTGAGGTCGTGGTATTTTTGAATTGAGTTTGTGGAGGTTTTTGAACTTGAGTTTGTGGCGTGTTTGAACTTGAGATTGTGGCGTGTTTGAACTTGAGTTTGTGGTGGTTTTTGAACTTGAGGTTGTGAAAATTGTTAAAACTTGAGAATCAGGTGTTGGTTGAACTTGAGTTTGTGGTTTTTGTTGAACTTGATTTTGTGCTTTGATTGAACTTTAGTTTATGTTTTTTTTTTGTACTTGAGTTTGTGTTGTTTTTGAACTTGAGGTTGTGGAAATTGTAAAAACTTGAGAATCAGGTGTTGGTTGAACTTGAGTTTGTGTGTTTTTGTAACTTGAGTTTGTTGTTTCTGAACTTGAGGTTTTGGCAATTGTTGAACTTGATAATTGGGTATTGGTTGAACTTGAGTTTGTGTGTTTGTTGAACTTGAGTTTGTGTCGTGTTTGAACTTCAGTTTGTGGTGTTTTTTGAACTTGAGGTTGTGGTGTTTTTGAACTTGAGTTTTTGGTGTTTTTGAACTTGAGGTTGTGGCAATTGTTGAATTTAAGTTTGTGACGTGTTTGAACTTGATTTTGTGGTGTTTTTGAACTCGAGTTTGTTTTGTTTTTGAACTTGAGTTTGTGGTGTTTGTTGAACTTGAGTTTGTGTCGTGTTTGAACTTGAGGTTGTGGTGTTTTTGAACTCGAGTTTTTGTGTTTGTTGAACTTCAGTTTGTGTCGTGTTTGAACTTGAGTTTGTGGTGTTTTTTGAACTTGAGGTTGTGGTGTTTTTGAACTTGAGTTTGTGGCGGTTTTTGAACTTGAGGTTGTTGCAATTGTTGAACTTGAAATAAAAACCCAAATATGAACCCAAATATATATTTTTTCTTTTTACATTTTTTTGGTGTAACCAACTCCAAAAGGTCTTAAACATGTTCCTAAAAAAATTTTGGACAGTGATTTTAAACCTAACGCCTAAAACCTTAAACCTTACCCTAGCCCCATAACCTAATACCCGGGTATTAACTTCAGGAAGCCCAAAAACCCCAAATATTTTTTTTTCATTGTTCGTTTTTTTTTTGGTCTAACTAACACCAAAAGGTTGGAAAAGAGGTCCTACAAAGGTTTTGGACAGTGATTTTAACACTCACGTCAAAAACCTTAAACCTTACTATAGCCCCATGACCTAATACCCGGGTATTACCTTCAGAAGCCCAAAAACCCCAAATATTTTTTTTATTTTTCGTTAGTTTTTGCTCTATCTAACTCCAAAAGGTTGGAAAAGAGTTCCTACAAAGGTTTTGGACAGTGATTTTAACCCTAACGCCAAAAACCTTAAACCTTACCCTAGCCCCATAACCTCATACCCGGTTATTTCCTTAAGGAAGCCCGAAGACCCCAAATATATTTTTTTCATTTTTTTTTTTTTGGTCTAACTTGCTCTCAAAGGTTGGAAAAGAGTTCCTACAAAGGTTTTGGACATTGATTTTAACCCTAACGCCAAAAAACTTAAAGCATTACCCTAGCCCAGAAACCTAGTATTACCTTCAGGAAGCCCGAACACCCAAAAAAAATTCTTTTTCTTTTTACATTTTTTTTGGTGTAACCAACTCCAAAAGGTCTGAAACATGTTCCTAAAAAGGTTTTGGACATTGATTTTAACCCTAACACCAAAAAACCTTAAACCTTACCCTAGCCCCATAACCTAATACGGGTATTTCCTTCAGGAAGCCCGAAGACCCCAAATATGTTTTTTTCTTTTTTCTTTTTTTTTGGTCTAACGAACTCCAAAAGGTTGGAAAAGAGTTCCTACAAAGGTTTTGGACAGTGATTTTAACCCTAACACCAAAAACCTTAAACCTTACCCTAGCCCCAAAACCTAATACCCGGGTATTACCTTCAGGAAGCCTGAACACCCCAAATATATTTTTTTTCATTTCACATTTTTTTTTGGTGTAACAAACTCCAAAAGGTCTTAAACATGTTCCTAAAAAGGTTTTGGTCAGTGATTTTAACCCTAACGCCAAAAACCTTTAACCTTACTATAGCCCCATAACCAAATACCCGGGTATTACCTTCAGGAAACCCGAACACCCCAAATATTTTTTTTCATTTTTCGTTTTTTTTTGGTGTAACTAACTCCAAAAGGTTGGAAAATAGTTCCTACAAAGGTTTTGGACAGTGATTTTAACCCTAACGCCAAAAACCTTAAACCTTACTATAGCCCCATAACCTAATACCCAGGTATTACCTTCAGGAAGCTTGAACACCCCAAATATTTTTTTTTCATTTTACATTTTTTTTGGTGTAACCTACTCCAAAAGGTCTGAAACATGTTCCTAAAAAGGTTTTGGACATTGATTTTAACCCTAACACCAAAAAACCTTAAACCTTACCCTAGCCCCATAACCTAATACCCGGTTATTTCCTTCAGGAAGCCCGAAGACCCCAAATATATTTTTTTCTTTTTTCTTTTTTTTTTGGTCTAACTAACTCCAAAAGGTTGGAAAAGAGTTCCTACAAAGGTTTTGGACAGTGATTTTAACCCTAACACCAAAAACCTTAAACCTTACCCTAGCCCCAAAACCTAATACCCGGGTATTACCTTCAGGAAGCCCGAACACCCAAAAAAATTTTTTTTTCATTTTGCATTTTTTTTGGTGTAACCAACTCCAAAAGGTCTGAAACATGTTCCTAAAAAGGTTTTGGACAGTGATTTTAACCCTTACGCCAAACACCTTAAACCTTACCCTAGCCCCATAACCTAATACCCGGGTATTACCTTCAGGAAGCCCGAACACCCCAAATATTTTTTTTTCATTTATCTCTTTTTTTTTTGTCTAACTAATTCCCAAAGGTTGGAAAAGAGTTCCTACAAAGGTTTTGGACAGTGATTTTTACCCTCACGCCGAAAAACCTTAAACCTTACCCTAGCCCCATAACCTAATACCCGGGTATTACCTTCAGGAAGCCCGAACACCCCAAATATATATTTTTTATTTTTCTATTTGTTTTGGTCTAACTTGCTCTCAAAGGTTGGAAAAGAGTTCCTACAAAGGATTTGGACATTGATTTCAACCCTAACGCCAAAAAACTTAAACATTACCCTAGCCCAGAAACCTAGGATTACCTTCAGGAAGCCCGAACACCCAAAATAAATTTTTTTTCATTTTACATTTTTTTTGGTGTAACCAACTCCAAAAGGTCTGAAACATGTTCCTAAAAAGGTTTTGGACAGTGATTTTAACCCTTACGCCAAAAACCTTAAACCTTACCCTAGCCCCATAACCTAATACCCGGGTATTACCTTCAGGAAGCCCGAACACCCCAAATATTTTTTTTTTCATTTATCTTTTTTTTTTTTTTTGTCTAACTAACTCCAAAAGGTTGGAAAATAGTTCCTACAAAGGTTTTGGACAGTGATTTTAACCCTAACGCCAAAAACCTTAAACCTTACTATAGCCCCATAACCTAATACCCGGGTATTACCTTCAGGAAGCTTGAACACCCCAAATATTTTTTTTTCATTTTACATTTTTTTTTTGGTGTAACCTACTCCAAAAGGTCTGAAACATGTTCCTAAAAAGGTTTTGGACATTGATTTTAACCCTAACGCCAAAAACCTTAAACCTTACCCTAGCCCCATAACCTAATACCTGGGTATTTCCTTCAGGAAGCCCGAAGACCCCAAATATATTTTTTTCTTTTTTCTTTTTTTGGTCTAACTAACTCCCAAAGGTCTGAAACATGTTCCTTAAAAAATATTGGACAGTTATTTTAACCCTAACGCCAAAAACCTTAAACCTAACCCTAGCCCCAAAACCTAATTACCTTACCTTCAGGAAGCCCGAACACCCCAAATATTTTTTTTTCATTTTACATTTTTTTTTGGTGTAACCAACTCTAAAAGGTCTTAAACATGTTCCTAAAAAGGTTTTGGACACTGATTTTAACTCTAACACCAAAAACCTTAAACCTTACCCTAGCCCCATAACCTAATACCCGGGTATTACCTTCAGGAAACCCGAACACCCCAAATATATATTTTTTTCTTTTTTTTTTTTTTTGTCTAACTAACTCCCAAAGGTCTGAAACATGTTCCTTAAAAAATATTGGACAGTTATTTTAACCCTAACGCCAAAAACCTTAAACCTAACCCTAGCCCCAAAACCTAATACCCGGGTATTACCTTCAGGAAGCCCGAACACCCCAAATATTTTTTTTTCATTTATCTTATTTTTTTTTGTCTAACTTATTCCCAAAGGTTGGAAAAGAGTTCCTACAAAGGTTTGGGACAGTGATTTTTACCCTCACGCCGAAAAACCTTAAACCTTACCCTAGCCCCATAACCTAATACCCGGGTATTACCTTCAGGAAGCCCGAACACCCCAAATATATATTTTTTATTTTTCTTTTTGTTTTGGTCTAACTTGCTCTCAAAGGTTGGAAAAGAGTTCCTACAAAGGTTTTGGACATTGATTTTAACCCTAACGCCAAAAACCTAAAATATTACCCTAGCCCAGAAACCTAGTATTACCTTCAGGAAGCCCGAACACCCAAAAAAAATTCTTTTTCATTTTACATTTTTTTTGGTGTAACCAACTCCAAAAGGTCTGAAACATGTTCCTAAAAAGGTTTTGGACAGTGATTTTAACCCTTACGCCAAAAACCTTAAACCTTACCCTAGCCCCATAACCTAATACCTTGGTATTACCTTCAGGAAGCCCGAACACCCCAAATATTTTTTTTCATTTTTCGTTTTTTTTTGGTCTAACTAACTCCAAAAGGTTGGAAAATAGTTCCTACAAAGGTTTTGGACAGTGATTTTAACCCTAACGCCAAAAACCTTAAACCTTACCCTAGCCCCATAACCTAATACCCGGGTATTACCTTCAGGAAGCCCGAACACCCCAAATATATTTTTTTCATTTTTTTTTTTTTTTTGGTCTAACTAACTCCAAAAGGTCGGAAAAGCATTCCTACAAAGGTTTTGGACGGTGATTTTAACCCTAACGCCAAAAACCTTAAACCTAACCCTAGCCCCAAAACCTAATACCCGGGTATTACCTTCAGGAAGCCCGAACACCCCAAATATTTTTTTTTCATTTATCTTATTTTTTTTTGTCTAACTTATTCCCAAAGGTTGGAAAAGAGTTCCTACAAAGGTTTTGGACAGTGATTTTAACCCTTACGCCAAAAACCTTAAACCTTACCCTAGCCCCATAACCTAATACCTTGGTATTACCTTCAGGAAGCCCGAACACCCCAAATATTTTTTTTCATTTTTCGTTTTTTTTTGGTCTAACTAACTCCAAAAGGTTGGAAAATAGTTCCTACAAAGGTTTTGGACAGTGATTTTGACCCTTACGCCAAAAACCTTAAACCTTACCCTAGCCCCATAACCTAATACCTTGGTATTACCTTCAGGAAGCCCGAACACCCCAAATATTTTTTTTCATTTTTCGTTTTTTTTTGGTCTAACTAACTCCAAAAGGTTGGAAAATAGTTCCTACAAAGGTTTTGGACAGTGATTTTAACCCTAACGCCAAAAACCTTAAACCTTACTATAGCCCCATAACCTAATACCCGGGTATTACCTTCAGGAAGCTTGAACACCCCAAATATTTCTTTTTCATTTTACATTTTTTTTTGGTGTTACCAACTCCAAAAGGTCTGAAACATGTTCCTAAAAAGGTTTTGGACAGTGATTTTAACCCTAAAACCAAAAACCTTAAACCTTACCCTTGCCCCATAACCTAATACCTGGGTATTACCTTCAGGAAGCCCGAAGACCCCAAATATATTTTTTTCATTTTATTTTTTTTTTTTTGGTCTAACTAACTCCAAAAGGTCGGAAAAGCATTTCTACAAAGGTTTTGGACGGTGATTTTAACCCTAACGCCAAAAACATTAAACCTAATCCTAGCCCCAAAACCTAATACCCGGGTATTACCTTCAGGAAGCCCGAACACCCCAAATTTTTTTTTTCTTTTTTTTTTTTTTTTGTCTAACTAACTCCAAAAGGTTGGAAAATAGTTCCTACAAAGGTTTTGGACAGTGATTTTAACCCTAACGCCAAAAACCTTAAACCTTACTATAGCCCCATAACCTAATACCCGGGAATAACCTTCAGGAAGCTTGAACACCCCAAATATTTTTTTTTCATTTTACAATTTTTTTTGGTCTAACTAACTCCAAAAGGTCTGAAACATGTTCCTAAAAAGGTTTTGGACAGTGATTTTAACCCTTACGCCAAAAACCTTAAACCTTACCCTAGCCCCATAACCTAATACCCGGGTATTACCTTCAGGAAACCCGAACACCCCAAATATTTTTTTTTTCTTTTTCTTTTTTTTTTTGTCTAACTAACTCCCAAAGGTCTGAAACATGTTCCTTAAAAAAAATTGGACAGTTATTTTAACCCTAACGCCAAAAACCTTAAACCTAACCCTAGCCCCAAAACCTAATACTTCAGGAAGCTTGAACACCCCAAATATTTTTTTTTCATTTTACATTTTTTTGGGTGTTACCAACTCCAAAAGGTCTGAAACATGTTCCTAAAAAGGTTTTGGACAGTGATTTTAGCCCGAACACCCCAAATATTTTTTTTCATTTTTCGTTTTTTTTTGGTCTAACTAACTCCAAAAGGTTGGAAAATAGTTCCTACAAAGGTTTTGGACAGTGATTTTAACCCTAACGCCAAAAACCTTAAACCTTACTATAGCCCCATAACCTAATACCCGGGTATTACCTTCAGGAAGCTTGAACACCCCAAATATTTTTTTTTCATTTTACATTTTTTTTGGTGTTACCAACTCCAAAAGGTCTGAAACATGTTCCTAAAAAGGTTTTGGACAGTGATTTTAACCCTAACACCAAAAACCTTAAACCTTACCCTTGCCCCATAACCTATTACCTGGGTATTTTCTTCAGGAAGCCCGAACACCCCAAATATATATTTTTTATTATTCTTTTTTTTTTTTTGGTCTAACTAACTCCAAAAGGTCGGAAAAACATTCCTACAAAGGTTTTGGACAGTGATTTTAACCCTAACGCCAAAAACCTTAAACCTTACACTAGCCCCAAAACCTAATACCCGGGTATTACCTTCAGGAAACCCGAACACCCCAAATATATTTTTTTCTTTTTCTTTTTTTTTTGTCTAACTAACTCCCAAAGGTCTGAAACATGTTCCTTTAAAAATATTGGACAGTTATTTTAACCCTAACGCCAAAAACCTTAAACCTAACCCTAGCCCCAAAACCTAATACCCAGGTATTACCTTCAGGAAGCCCGAACACCCCAAATATTTTTTTTTCATTTATCTTATTTTTTTTGTCTAACTTATTCCCAAAGGTTGGAAAAGAGTTCCTACAAAGGTTTTGGACAGTGATTTTTACCCTCACGCCAAAAAACCTTAAACCTTACCCTAGCCCCATAACCTAATACCCGGGTATTACCTTCAGGAAGCCTGAACACCCCAAATATATATTTTTTATTTTTCTTTTTGTTTTGGTCTAACTTGCTCTCAAAGGTTGGAAAAAAAAATCCTACAAAGGTTTTGGACATTGATTTTAACCCTAACGCCAAAAACCTTAAACCTTACCCTAGCCCCATAACCTAATACCTTGGTATTACCTTCAGGAAGCCCGAACACCCCAAATATTTTTTTTCATTTTTCGTTTTTTTTTGGTCTAACTAACTCCAAAAGGTTGGAAAATAGTTCCTACAAAGGTTTTGGACAGTGATTTTGACCCTTACGCCAAAAACCTTAAACCTTACCCTAGCCCCATAACCTAATACCTTGGTATTACCTTCAGGAAGCCCGAACACCCCAAATATTTTTTTTCATTTTTCGTTTTTTTTTGGTCTAACTAACTCCAAAAGGTTGGAAAATAGTTCCTACAAAGGTTTTGGACAGTGATTTTAACCCTAACGCCAAAAACCTTAAACCTTACTATAGCCCCATAACCTAATACCCGGGTATTACCTTCAGGAAGCTTGAACACCCCAAATATTTTTTTTTCATTTTACATTTTTTTTTGGTGTTACCAACTCCAAAAGGTCTGAAACATGTTCCTAAAAAGGTTTTGGACAGTGATTTTAACCCTAACGCCAAAAACCTTAAACCTTACCCTTGCCCCATAACCTAATACCTGGGTATTACCTTCAGGAAGCCCGAAGACCCCAAATATATTTTTTTCATTTTTTTTTTTTTTTTTTGGTCTAACTAACTCCAAAAGGTCGGAAAAGCATTTCTACAAAGGTTTTGGACGGTGATTTTAACCCTAACGCCAAAAACATTAAACCTAATCCTAGCCCCAAAACCTAATACCCGGGTATTACCTTCAGGAAGCCCGAACACCCCAAATTTTTTTTTTCTTTTTTTTTTTTTTTTTTGTCTAACTAACTCCAAAAGGTTGGAAAATAGTTCCTACAAAGGTTTTGGACAGTGATTTTAACCCTAATGCCAAAAATCTTAAACCTTACTAAAGCCCCATAACCTAATACCCGGGAATAACCTTCAGGAAGCTTGAACACCCCAAATATTTTTTTTTCATTTTACAATTTTTTTTGGTCTAACTAACTCCAAAAGGTCTGAAACATGTTCCTAAAAAGGTTTTGGACAGTGATTTTAACCCTTACGCCAAAAACCTTAAACCTTACCCTAGCCCCATAACCTAATACCCGGGTATTACCTTCAGGAAGCCCGAACACCCCAAATATTTTTTTTTCTTTTTCTTTTTTTTTTTGTCTAACTAACTCCCAAAGGTCTGAAACATGTTCCTTAAAAAAAATTGGACAGTTATTTTAACCCTAACGCCAAAAACCTTAAACCTAACCCTAGCCCCAAAACCTAATACTTCAGGAAGCTTGAACTCCCCAAATATTTTTTTTTCATTTTACATTTTTTTTGGTGTTACCAACTCCAAAAGGTCTAAAACATGTTCCTAAAAAGGTTTTGGACAGTGATTTTAGCCCGAACACCCCAAATATTTTTTTTCATTTTTCGTTTTTTTTTGGTCTAACTAACTCCAAAAGGTTGGAAAATAGTTCCTACAAAGGTTTTGGACAGTGATTTTAACCCTAACGCCAAAAACCTTAAACCTTACTATAGCCCCATAACCTAATACCCGGGTATTACCTTCAGGAAGCCCGAACACCCCAAATATTTTTTTTTCATTTTACATTTTTTTTGGTGTTACCAACTCCAAAAGGTCTGAAACATGTTCCTAAAAAGGTTTTGGACAGTGATTTTAACCCTAACGCCAAAAACCTTAAACCTTACCCTAGCCCCATAACCTAATACCTGGGTATTACCTTCAGGAAGCCCGAACACCCCAAATATATATTTTTTTTATTATTCTTTTTTTTTTTTGGTCTAACTAACTCCAAAAGGTCGGAAAAACATTCCTACAAAGGTTTTGGACAGTGATTTTAACCCTAACGCCAAAAACCTTAAACCTTACCCTAGCCCCAAAACCTAATACCCGGGTATTACCTTCAGGAAACCCGAACACCCCAAATATATTTTTTTCTTTTTCTTTTTTTTTTGTCTAACTAACTCCCAAAGGTCTGAAACATGTTCCTTAAAAAATATTGGACAGTTATTTTAACCCTAACGCCAAAAACCTTAAACCTAACCCTAGCCCCAAAACCTAATACCCGGGTATTACCTTCAGGAAGCCCGAACACCCCAAATATTTTTTTTTCATTTATCTTATTTTTTTTGTCTAACTTATTCCCAAAGGTTGGAAAAGAGTTCCTACAAATGTTTTGGACAGTGATTTTAACCCTCACGCCAAAAACCTTAAACCTTACCCTAGCCCCATAACCTAATACCCGGGTATTACCTTCAGGAAGCCCGAACACCCCAAATATATATTTTTTATTTTTCTTTTTGTTTTGGTCTAACTTGCTCTCAAAGGTTGGAAAAAAAAATCCTACAAAGGTTTTGGACATTGATTTTAACCCTAACGCCAAAAACCTAAAACATTACCCTAGCCCAGAAACCTAGTATTACCTTCAGGAAGCCCGAACACCCAAAAAAAATTCTTTTTCATTTTACATTTTTTTTGGTGTAACCAACTCCAAAAGGTCTGAAACATGTTCCTAAAAAGGTTTTGGACAGTGATTTTAACCCTTACGCCAAAAACCTTAAACCTTACCCTAGCCCCATAACCTAATACCCGGGTATTACCTTCAGGAAGCCCGAACACCCCAAATATTTTTTTTCATTTTTCGTTTTTTTTTTGGTCTAACTAACTCCAAAAGGTTGGAAAATAGTTCCTACAAAGGTTTTGGACAGTGATTTTAACCCTAACGCCAAAAACCTTAAACCTTACTATAGCCCCATAACCTAATACCCGGGTATTACCTTCAGGAAGCTTGAACACCCCAAATATTTTTTTTTCATTTTACATTTTTTTTTGGTGTAACCTACTCCAAAAGGTCTGAAACATGTTCCTAAAAAGGTTTTGGACATTGATTTTAACCCTAACGCCAAAAACCTTAAACCTTACCCTAGCCCCATAACCTAATACCCGGGTATTACCTTCAGGAAGCCCGAAGACCCCAAATACATTTTTTTCTTTTTCCTTTTTTTTGGTCTAACTAACTCCAAAAGGTTGGAAGAGTTCCTACAAAGGTTTTGGACAGTGATTTTAACCCTAACACCAAAAACCTTAAACCTTACCCTAGCCCCAAAACCTAATACCCGGGTATTACCTTCAGGAAGCCCGAACACCCAAAAAGTTTTTTTTTCATTTATCTTATTTTTTTTTGTCTAACTAATTCCCAAAGGTTGGAAAAGAGTTCCTACAAAGGTTTTGGACAGTGATTTTTACCCTCACGCCGAAAAACCTTAAACCTTACCCTAGCCCCATAACCTAATACCCGGGTATTACCTTCAGGAAGCCCGAACACCCCAAATATATATTTTTTCATTTTTCTTTTTTTTTGGTCTAACTTGCTCTCAAAGGTTGGAAAAGAGTTCCTACAAAGGTTTTGGACATTGATTTTAACCCTAACGCCAAAAAACTTAAACCTTACCCTAGCCCCATAACCTAATACCTGGGTATTTCCTTCAGGAAGCCCGAAGACCCCAATATATTTTTTTCATTTTTTTTTTTTTTGGTCTAACTAACTCCAAAAGGTTGGAAAAGAGTTCCTACAAAGGTTTTGGACAGTGATTTTAACCCTAACGCCAAAAACCTTAAACCTTACCCTAGCCCCATAACCTAATACCCGGGTATTACCTTCAGGAAGCCCGAACACCCCAAATATTTTTTTTTCATTAACTTATTTTTTTTGTCTAACTTATTCCCAAAGGTTGGAAAAGAGTTCCTACAAAGGTTTTGGACAGTGATTTTAACCCTAACGCCAAAAACCTTAAACCTTACCCTAGCCCCATAACCTAATACCCGGGTATTACCTTCAGGAAGCCCGAACACCCCAAATATTTTTTTTTCATTTATCTTATTTTTTTTGTCTAACTTATTCCCAAAGGTTGGAAAAGAGTTCCTACAAAGGTTTTGGACAGTGATTTTAACCCTAACGCCAAAAACCTTAAACCTTACCCTAGCCCCATAACCTAATACCCGGGTATTACCTTCAGGAAGCCCGAACACCCCAAATATTTTTTTCATTTATCTTTTTTTTTTTTTCTAAATAACTCCAAAAGGTTGGAAAAAACTTCCTACAAAGGTTTTGGACAGTGATTTTAACCCTAACGCCAAAAACCTTAAACCTTACCCTAGCCCCAAAACCTAATACCCGGGTATTACCTTCAGGAAGCCCGAACACCCCAAATATTTTTTTTTCATTTTACATTTTTTTTTTGGTGTTACCAACTCCAAAAGGTCTGAAACATGTTCCTAAAAAGGTTTTGGACAGTGATTTTAACCCTAACGCCAAAAACCTTAAACCTTACCCTAGCCCCATAACCTAATACCCGGGTATTACCTTCAGGAAGCCCGAACACCCCAAATATATTTTTTTCATTTTTTTTTTTTTTTTGGTCTAACTAACTCCAAAAGGTCTGAAAAGAGTTCCTACAAAGGTTTTGGACGGTGATTTTAACCCTAACGCCAAAAACCTTAAACCTTACCCTAGCCCCAAAACCTAATACCCAGGTATTACCTTCAGGAAGCCCGAACACCCCAAATATTTTTTTTTCATTAACTTATTTTTTTTGTCTAACTTATTCCCAAAGGTTGGAAAAGAGTTCCTACAAAGGTTTTGGACAGTGATTTTAACCCTAACGCCAAAAACCTTAAACCTTACCCTAGCCCCATAACCTAATACCCGGGTATTACCTTCAGGAAGCCCGAACACCCCAAATATTTTTTTTTTCATTTATCTTATTTTTTTTGTCTAACTTATTCCCAAAGGTTGGAAAAGAGTTCCTACAAAGGTTTTGGACAGTGATTTTAAC